GAGGGGGTAGGAGCTGAGCATGCAGAGCCAGGTGGGTATCTGTGAGTTCAAGGCCAGCCTGGTATACATAGAGAACTCCAGGATAGCCAGGACAACAGAGAAAACCTGTCTGGAAAAAAAACAAAAACCAAGCCAAATCAAAACAACACACACTAGCACACACAAACAGAAAACAATAATAGTCAGGAGGGTCACTTCAGGAGTTCAAGACCATCCTGGACCACTCAGCAGCTGTTCTAGCTTTAAATAGCTGGCTGCAGGTGGAGCTGCTACCCCGATGTCCACAGCCTGTTACCTGCAGGCCTGCCCGTGACCCTGCCAGGTGGCACTGAGAGCTCCATTTCAAGGTGGAGAGACAGGTTCAGGGGCTGGAATAGCAAGCAAGACAGTGCAGGCGACACTGTGGGCTCTGCCTGGAGGCAAGTAGTCCTTGCCTCGAAACACTGTCCTGACAGGTCTGGGGGCCTCTGTGGCAACTCAAGACAGGGAATCAGATACCCGGGCCCCATGGGAACCTGCCTGACTGTATCCTGTCTACCTACAGCTCCCTACACCATCATCACCTTCCCCTTTCTCTTTGCTGTGATGTTTGGAGATGTGGGTCACGGACTGCTCATGTTTCTCTTTGCCCTGGCCATGGTCCTCACTGAGAGGCGGCCATCTGTGAAAGCTGCACAAAATGAGGTATGCGCCATCCATGCCGGGTAGGGACAGGGGATAGGACACGGTGGTGAGCAGGCGCTCACCACACCACTGCCCGCAGATCTGGCAGACCTTCTTTGGGGGTCGCTACTTACTCCTGCTCATGGGTCTGTTCTCCATCTACACTGGCTTCATATACAATGAGTGCTTCAGCCGGGCCGCTACCATCTTCCCCTCGGGCTGGAGTGTGGCTGCCATGGCTAACCAGTCAGGCTGGAGGTAGGACCTAAATCCCTACCCTCCCAGGGCTCCTGGCCCACGGTGCACCCCTGACATCATCTGTTATCACCGCAGTGACAAGTATCTGTCCCAGCACCCCGTGCTCACCCTGAACCCCAACATCACCGGTGTTTTCCTGGGACCTTATCCCTTTGGCATTGACCCGGTAAGTGCGGCCACGCTGGTGCATGTGAGTGGTGGAGGCAGATGGGTGGCTGGCCAGGGCTGCACAGCTCCATCCGCTCACTGCCCCTTTGACAGTTGGCACTGAGCACTTCCTGTGTGTCAGGTCCCGTGCTAGGCCTGGCTCACAGGCAGAGAGGCCTAAAAATAGTATCCAAACTGTGCACAAGTTAGTTCCAACACTTGGGAGGTGGGAGGCAGGAGGATCAGGGTTCAAGTGCATCCCTGGCTACATAAAGTGTTCAAGACCTGCCTGGGTTACATAAAACCCAGCCTCCAAACAAACAAAAACCCAGAACAGAATAGCGGCCTAGTACTTGTGAACAACTGGTCCAACTGACAGTCCTACAGACATCCATTAGCATTACCCTACTGCACAGATGAGAGTGAGCCGGAGGCCTGGGTGCCTGAGCTTGAGCCCTGGTGACGGGAACCTGGCCTGTGAGAGCAACTGTTTGCTTGCTTCTGTTGCCCCTTAGAACTAGTGACTAGAGTGCTGTGATTAGGTGTGTCAGGGAGCAAGAAGGTGGAGAGAGAACAATGGGGTTGTCCTGGCAAAACTGACCATGGTGTCCCTGAGTGCCCCCCTGTCCCACTACCCCAGATCTGGAGCCTGGCCACCAACCACCTGAGCTTCCTCAACTCCTTCAAGATGAAGATGTCTGTCATCCTCGGGGTCATCCACATGGCCTTTGGGGTGTTCCTCAGTGTCTTCAACCACATGTGAGCCCAGAGCTGCCAATGGGTATGGGCCATGTCCTTGTGGGGCCAGAGTACTCTGTGACCTGTCTGTTCCCATAGGCACTTTGGCCAGGCACACCGGCTCCTGCTGGAGACCCTGCCTGAGCTCATCTTCCTGCTGGGCCTCTTTGGCTACCTTGTGTTCCTCATTGTCTACAAGTGGCTGCGGGAATCAGCTGCCAGCGCCTCCACAGCTCCCAGTATCCTCATCCACTTTATCAATATGTTCCTCTTCGCCCAAAGCCCCACCAATCAGCCACTCTTCCACGGGCAGGTAGGCCAGAAAAGGAATACAGGGCGCTCCCACTTGAGTCACTGGGCCACCTGGGACTCCAGAGCCATTGGAGAAATGGGCTGTGGGCCAGAATCCCTGCAGTGATGTCAGTGGTGATGGACTAACCGTTGGAACATAGAGTGGTCTTACAAGGGGTGTTGGGAACCTGAGGTCCCTTCGCTGGTCCTTGTTAGTGAAGGGCCCTGGGGAGGGACTGCAGTTCCCTATGATCAGTATGACCATACCAAGTGTCTCATTGCATGCCAACACTGTGTGTGGTTGCCTTGCCTGCAGGAAGTGGTACAGTATGTGCTGGTGGTCCTGGCTTTGGCAACAGTTCCTATCCTGCTGCTGGGCACACCCTTGTACCTGCTGCGGCAGCACCACCGCAGAAATACTCAGAGAAGGCCAGCAGGTGGAGAGGTAGGAGTCGGGAGCACAGGGAAGGAGGGCCGCATGGGAGGTGCTCCTTATTTCCCCACAGGCTCCATGCTGCTGGGTGGGTGGCATGGGCTGCCCCTGGGGCTGGAGCTTTTGGTGCTACCTGCTCTCAGGACAAGGACAGTGACAAGCTTCTGGCCTCCTCTGATGCTTCCACCTCGGTGAACAGCTGGAACGCTGATGAAGAGAAGGCTGGGATCCCAGGGGATGAGGAGGAAGCTGAGGTGGGTGGGTCTGTGCAGCACTTTCTTGTTGGGGGGGGGGCTGCCAGTCTTGGCTATTGTCTCATGGCCTCTTACCATGCAGTTTGTGCCATCTGAGGTCTTCATGCATCAGGCCATTCACACCATTGAGTTCTGCCTGGGCTGCATCTCCAACACAGCCTCCTACTTGCGCCTTTGGGCCCTGAGCCTAGCCCATGCCCGTGAGTAACCTCTCTCCTGGGCCTCATGTCCTTCCCTGTCATATTGGGCTCCCCACACAGGTACCTCACCCGCTTCAGGAAGGGTTGAAGGATGATGCTGAGGGTGGGGATGCTGACAGCATTCCCCCACCTTTGGTCCCACTGTCCCCTTGTTTTGTGCAGAGCTTTCTGAGGTCCTGTGGGCCATGGTCATGCGCATAGGCCTGGGAATGGGTCGAGAGATGGGTGTGGCAGCTGTGGTGCTGGTCCCCGTGTTTGCTGCCTTTGCTGTTCTGACTGTGGCCATCTTGCTAGTGATGGAGGGGCTCTCAGCCTTCCTACACGCTCTGCGTTTGCATTGGTGAGCATACCTGTGGTGAGCCTGGGCATGGAGGGGATGGGTGGTATTCCTCTCACTGGCCCCTTCCTCACATCCAGGGTGGAGTTCCAGAACAAGTTCTACTCGGGTACAGGCTACAAGCTCAGCCCCTTCACTTTCACTGTGGACAATGAGTAGCATCCACTGTGATTCCTGCCTCCCCAGATCAAGAAAGGAATAAAGAGCTGGCTGGCCCAGGAACTTTGCCTTGGTCCTCTCTGGGATACGGGACTGGGCTGACACTACAATGGCCAGAGTTCTGGGTTCTGAAGATGCCGTATACTTAAACCATCCTTCAGCTGAGGTAGAGGGTGAGAGGCACTGGTCTAGGATCTAAGCCTTTTACAAGTTGCTGTGAGAACCCAGGAACACATCTGCAGACTTTTGGAAAGAGTTAACGCTAGGGCCAAGAAGGGATGCTCTAGTTTGGTGGGAGTGGATTCCAGCCAGGTGGGATGAGGTATACAAACGGGCTTTGATGTTAAGCCGTCTCCCTGAAATCCTTAAAGAGTGGCCTTTCATTCCCTCTGGCTGGGAGGGATATATAGGCAGTGCATGTCAGAGACCCTGTTTTCCAGCCAAGTTACAAAGCAGTTAATGCAGCTGAAGGCACCAGCAACAAAGGCTGCTTTGAGGCCAGAGCTGCTCTTTGGGCATAGCTAGTCACAATGGCCCTGGCCAAGCTGCTGGGATGTGTACTGTCTGAAAAATCTCTGAATGCAGGAAGGGAATAGCAGGGTCTTTCAGATAGTTTCACATGCTTGGCATATTAAGCTAAGAGAAATGTAACAGCTGGGCAGGAGTTGTGGAGGGTCCCCAGGAGACATCAGTATAGGTCTACTGACACTTGCCTGCCTGGACTGGCTATTCCAGTTGCCATGGGAACAGCATGCTATGTTACTGGCAAGCACTGTCCTAGCAGTCATACCCACTAAAGGGTGTGATCAGGCCAGGATGGATCTGATCCCTGCCCATTTGGGCAGGAAACAACTAAGGAAGCCAGTCAGAAGTTCTGGAAAGACTCATCACATGAAGAACAGGAAACATCAGGCAGGGAGGGTACGGGGCTACAAAGGTGATTTGGGAAAGGCACTGTAACAAATGGGAAGATTTAGGAATGCGTGAGGGTGGTTAAGAACCTGTACTGCTTTTGCAGAGAACCTGGGTTTGGTCCCCAGCACTCACATCAGGCAGCTCACAGTTGCCTGTGACTCCAGTTCAGGACATTCTACTCCTCAGACCTCTTGGGACACTTGCTCTCTTGTGCACGTAATTAAAGATAAGACAACCCTGAGGGTAATCAAGCATATGGTGAAGGAACCTGTTATTTGAGGATCGTCAGGCAGGCTGAGAGTCAGCTGGCATCAAGCCACTATGAGACCGAGGACAAGCAGCCATGGCCACTTTCATTCTATGCTTCAGTGGAGAGTTCCGTAGATGTTAGTGTTCTTGATGAAGTTCTGGTCAGAGCCGACAGGAAAAACTGCAGCTTCCTCTGCTGCTGTCTAGGCCTTAACTCCTGGTGAAGCAAGAAGGGTTACAGATCCTAGGGACCTCTGCTATCTGGTGGCACCGAGAATGAGGTGTGAGGAGGAGGATACCCAACCCGGCATTAGTCACATGGAAGGTGCTGACACATGCAGGGTAACACCTGAGGATGGTTTTCAAGTTGTTTATTTTTTGTATAATACAGTCTCGGTGGTAGCAGAAATATATGCACAAAACAATTCAGAGTAAAAAAAAATTCTAAGTTTATCCCATTGGGCATTTAATGTACATGGATTTCACATCTCTAGTCCACCTGCACCCCTATGCCCCAAACAGCTGCTGTCTCCAGTGACATCCGATGGGAAGCAGCTTTGGAGAGTCCTGGGCAGATGCCCGAGTTCCCGGCCAGGCAAAAGGAAGGCAAGAAAGGCTGAGGAAGCTGGGTCCACTGCTCCTCTCCAGCTGAGACACTGACGTTCTGCAGCCAGTGACACTGGTCCATGCAGCCATGTGTACACAGGCACAGGAGGCTACAGCTACTTTCTGCAGATGTGCACCCATAGCTCAAGTGTACCCTGCTTCTCCAGGAAGTCTGCCCATACACAGACCCCATGCATGACTCAGGCTCATTCCGCTGAGCCAGGCCACACCTCCAACAGTCACTAATGTGCTGCAGCACATTAATATCCTAAGACCGCGCTTGGAGTATCCAAATGGCACTGCTCTGACGGCTGGGGCCATAGGTGGCTGAAAGCTGTAGCCATGCAGCCAAAAGGCCTCCAGGTTAGGTGGGTTCTGAGCTATTGCACTATTGTACTATATTTCTGCTTCCAGTCATGGTTCAGAGTCCTAGTGAGAGCGTAAACAAAGATGAAAGAAATGTTACTCCACTTTAATATAGTCTGTAGTATCATACACATCGGTGCTCAGTAGTGAGACGTCCAGCCTTCTGCCCAGGGCAGTGGTCACAGCTCCACCGAGGGCCTGGCGCAGCCACCTCCTGCAGTCCAGTGGTGAAGAGTGGAGTCATCTCATTCACACCCCAAGCTTCCTCTTCTGGTCAAAGTAGGCATCGAACCTGGCTTGGGCATATTCCTGGGAGACAGCAAAAACAGCAGCTCACTATGTAGCCAGGCGGACCTGACCTTGAGACTTGTGCCTCCAACTCTAAGTGCCTAGATTGCTGCTGTGGACCACCATGCCAACAAAAACACATCTGCCCATCCTTGTTCTGAAGTCTTCTAGTTAACCGTATCAACTGATCAAACCAGATGTTTAAAGTTACATTTCACTTGCTGGGGTTCAAACGCCACTTGCAAGAGTCAGTTCTTGTTCCACCATATGGGTACTAGATACGAGATTTCAGGAAGCTTGGTGGCAGATGCCTTTCTTTGCTGAGTCCCAAATCTGCTTTAAATATCCAAATTTCTCCTGTCTTTGCTTCATGGCATCATTACCAAACCTTCCACCTAAATTAGAGTCACTCTAGTATGGATGTGACCTGTCCTAAGAGAGTCCACATCAAATATAGATAGCTCTAGTGTTAAGAGCAGATGGTGGCCTGACTTACAACAACAGTGCCAGTCTCCAACCTGAAGCTGGGTATTACAGGTTGGAGTATGGAGCAGTGACAAGAATACAGCCTAATCATGGGAGGTATTACCTTCCTTCACTTAGTGTTCCTTGTGTCAAAAGGGGCTGCAGTCCAGTGGACAGACCAGTCCAGATTTCTCTCTGGAGACTGCAGGCCCAGCTAGCACTTGGCTGAAGCTGGCAAGTAGTACCTGTGGTCCTAGAGTGAGGCAACTGTAACACCAGCAAGAAGGGTTTCCAGAGCTACAACTAACCCGGTGCTACCAGGTCACCAATTCCCCCTTCATGCGTTCACACACAACAGCTCTGCCTTGCAGCTGAAGAAAATTGCTCTGGAAACATACCATGTACCCGAATTCAATGGATGAAATCTTGGCCTGTACAATGGACCAAAGACCCCAGAGGAAATGGGAGGCGAGGGCAAATCTGTAATTATAAAAGTGAGAAGCACATAGCCATGTGAGGTCAGTTCTAAGAAGTCATGTCATACCCACGGCCATGCTACCAGGCATCTATCTGTCTAATACACTAAGTGCTGGCTTGGCCCTTTTGTGGGACTGTATGTGACGGGACTGGACTCTTCCCACCTCTGACATAGGAATCCTTACTGATGTGAATACACCCAGCTGCCTGGTCAGAGCACACCGGACACTGGAGTGGCCATGCTTTGCTCCAAGAGAGTATACAGAACCACTAGCTGACAGCAGCTCCTGAAAACCTGCCCTATACACTCGGCAGGAGGCTTCTCCAACCCACTCACCCACACCTTCCTCTCCTGTTAGGACAATAGCAGAAGAGTAGAGCCATGCTACCATCTCCAGCCTCAGAATAAAACACATGCCAAACCCCACTGACTGGGAGTGGCTTTATATACCACCACCCAACAAGGAAAAGCTTACCTGTTGACCTCAAGCAACATGTCTTCTTTTGTAGCGGACTGTTCTTCACTACTGAGGCTTGCAAAATCATTGTGGAATGCAGTCAAGTAACTGGAAATAAAATGAAGCTAAAAAAGAGCTGATTGTGTTAGGATGGATGATGGTTAAAACAAACACTGCTAATAGCTACTATAAACATGCCTATCACACAGCTGCCACTTGCCTTATGCTAACAGAGTGAGAACAGCAAGGCCATGGTGACCTCTGACCCTGACTCAGGGGAATCCAATGCCCTCTTCTGGCCTCTGTAGGCAGTGTATACACATAGTGAACAGATATTCATGCAGAAAAAAATCACCCTTACACATAAAAAAATTCAAAACAAGAACTCCCGAAGGCCACACATTTATCTACAACAGATTAAAGAAAAAAAAAAAGCGCTATACACAGAGCCCCACACTCACCATCTTTCCTTCTGATCGTTTATTTACTTATGTGGTGCTGGATCAAATCCAGAGCTCTGCATATGTTGGTCAAGCCCTCTCCTACTGAGAGACATCTCCTGCACCATCTCAACAGCTCAGAAAATTTTAACTAGAAAGCAATTTCTTTAAACTTGCACACTGTTCTACAGTTTTAGCATTGTCTTTTTTTTTAAGACAGGGTTTCTCTGTATTGCTTTGGAGCCTGTCCTGGAACTCGCTCTGTAGACCAGGATGGCCTGGAACTCACAGAGATCCGCCTGCCTCTGCCTCCCGAGTGCTGGGATTAAAGGTGTGTGCCACCAACGCCTGGCTAGTTTTAGCACTGTCTTTGACCACCACAATCTGTCCCTAGCTGGCACTTCCTCCCAGCTATTCTGACAGCTCTGAACTCTGGAGCTATCCATCTTTCATCAAGCCTAGACCCAATGTTGTCACCTGTGCTCTGCTACCCAACCCCAAGATCCACCATCCCCTATTCCTTCCTGCTCCTCACAGAAGTTTGGTTGCCTGCCTGGCTTTGGACATATTCAAGTTTATCCCCAACAGCCTGAAAATGTGACCAGGATAGTAAGACACTTTGTGAGATCTTAGCAAGCCCACATTTGAAGTGCCAGCCCTGGAATAGAGTCTTTTGACTCCAAAGCCTCTGCATGGGGCTCTAGGTTCCACACAGGCTCAAGACACTCCTGGACTGATCTGCAGCAGTGACTTGGTCACATCTGTCCTCACAGGAAGGATTCAAGCCACCATCCTGCAGCTGTGAAATTCTAGGTGAGTTTGACTTGCTCACTCCCTGCCCTGCCCACTTTCAGGACCAAACCCCATCAAGCTTCCACCCAGGCTTCAGAGATGGACTAAGAAATGAGACTCCCAGGAAGAAATTCCCACAAGAAATAATTGTCCACATAACCAGTAGCCCTCCTGAGATTCAGGATGAGAAAGCAATAATTCACAGCAAAGCTTTTCCTCCAGCAACACAGGTTCACAAAATAAGCAGGATGCTCAGCCTACCCCACACGCCAAGGAAGTGGGGCTTTTGGCAAACATGGAGGAACAACAGGAGGCCTGACACCTCTCAGACTGAACTAGGTATCTACAGCACAGGGAGTTACCAAAAGATGTAACCCCCACATCAACAGAACAAAACTCAATTACCTCCCGGTGGTGGCAGCACACACCTTTAATCCCAACGTTTAGGAGGCAGAAGCAGGCAGATCTCTATGAGTTCAAGATCAACTTGGTCTACAGAACGAGTTATAGGATAGCCAGGGTCACACAGAAAATCTTACTACTATTATTTTTATTATTAGAGACTGAACCCAGGGCTTCTTTCATGCTACCAAACGCTTCCACTCATCTACACCACTCCTCTTGGCTGTGAGGCATGGTACTGTGTACAGCCCAGGCTCACAATCCTCCTTCCACCTTCCTAAGCAGCATTTTAACATAAACAAAAGGGTTTCCCTAGCCCTTCTTTTTGCCGTAATTTAAGCAGAGCTATCATGGTGTTGGCTGAGTTGTAGAATACTCATCTGGCATGTAAGAGATACCGAGTTTAGTCCTAGCAATGCGCGTGCGCGCGCACACACACACACACACACACACACTTTGCCTCTTAGATGAATATATAGAATATTTTTTAATGAGCATGTGCAAGCATTGGTGGTACATGCCTTTAATCCTAGCACTCAGGAGTCAGAGACCAGTAGATTTCTAAGGGCAGCCTACTCTACATAGTAAATTCAGGATAGCGAGTGCTACAGTGAGACCCTATCTCACAAATAAAACAAAATAGACACAAATAAAATAAAAAATGAGCATGTAATCCCAACTGCATAAAGCTAGCACACACATAAAGCTAACTTATCAATACAAATGACTCTCCTACCTGTTGTTTTCGGGTAGGATACTTCAGAATGTTTGCTCTGAAGAAAGGATACTTTTCATAGGTATAATCATACATCCATTCACAGAAATGATTTCCAATGTCAAATCCCCTGAAAGAGAGGACAATACAGGGAAGATGTGAGGCAGATGCTGCAGGACCTGCAGGCTGCCTGAGCAGAAAGGAAGAGTGCTGAGCAGGGGCTGAGGAGATAGCCCAATGCTGAAGCGCACTCACTGCTTTTGCAGAAGACCCACAACAGGTAGCTCAGTCCCAGGGGATCTGATGGCCTCTTCTGGCCTCCATAGGCCTTCGCACTAGGCACACAGATGATATACATACACACACATAAAAAATATGTTAGAAAGCTGAATGAACCGTAAGTAGGATCTCTGGTCCCCAAGGTAGGCTTCTGGAGCAGACAAGAGTGTAGCAGGTTATTGCCTAGGAAGAATTAGGTGAGCATCGGAACCACAGCAGACTGTGGACCAAAGGTGCTACCTGAATGCTACTTGGGCACCCACACACAATGTTTCCTTGGCTACCAGTACTCACATCAGGAGCACCATCTTGGCAGTACAAAGAAAGAGGCAAACTGCTTGTGAGTGCCTGCTTCAACTGCATGGGCAGGTCTGTGCTGACCTGCCTCAGGGGCAAACATCTTCCTTTCTGCTCTAAATGCTGTTTATGCCTAATTGCTTTGTATCAATAATGAAACTGTACCGAAATCAGCATTTGACTGCAACACATTACCTGTAATTGTAACTGCTGTATTCAAAGTCAATGAGCATCAGCTTCTGCTTTTCAGAATCCTCTTGGCCATCCAACAATAAGATATTACCTGCAAAAGATAAGGATGAGAAGAAATTTTTTAACACAAGGTCGAATCCTTGGGGAGCAGAGCTGAGAATGATTCTGGCCCTGAATGATTTCAGCTTCGGTCCTAAAGACATCACAGGGACAGAGTACAAGTTTTGTCATGATAGTCTAAGCAGGGAGGATTCAGGACCACCTGTTCTCAGTCCCTGTCCTTCTGGGCACTACTCTTACAGAACACAGCCAGATCCTTCTCCACTGATTGGAGCAGTACTTTCCAAAAACCTCACACAGTGGGTGTTAACAGTGCATCTGGTCTCCTTACCTCAATCTCCTAGCGCCTTGGGACTGGGTTGCTGTCATCAGCTGGCCAACTGAGGCGCAACTGATTTGCCCCTGCATGCTGTTCCAACTCAAGAAGACCATAGACAATGGCCATGATGTTTCCTCTAGAATGAATCTAGGCAGATGGGTGACTGTCAGACTGGTTGTGCCAGCCCATTGCCCCTAGATCCCCCACTAATGAGTTCAGCAACTAAGCCTGGTCACTCTCCCTGGGTTTCTAGTGGAGGTAGTCTCTAGGCTTTGCAGAATACTCCTATTGATTCAAACAGCAAGGAAAACAACAATGGGGCAGACACCCAAAATCGTACAACAAAATAAATGCAAGCTGTTATTTCTATTCTTTTTACACTTGGCCATCACTCAGATAATTCCTCTCTCTGGTGATGATGGTCTATCTGTACATCCACCATGAGGACCAGATGGGTGTGGCTAACACACAAAGCTGGTATTGAAATTTCTATACCCTGCTCTACCCCACTAGTGGGAAAGCAATGATCAATTAATCAGAAAAGTACTTTGGCTCAAATTAATAGCTTATTGGTGAGGAGTCTTTTTAACTAGTTTATTTAAATTTATTTTATGTGCATTGGTGTGAAAGTGTCAGATATCCTGGAACTAGAGTTATCAGACAGTTGTGAGCTGCCATGTGGGTGCTGGGAATTGAACCAGGGTCTTCTGGAAGAGCATTCAGTGCTTTTAATCACTGAACCATCTCTCCAGCCCCCAACAATTACCTAATCTCAAGAATTGAGGGCCAGCCTGGGCAACGTGGCAAGATGCTATCTTGAAAACACAACATAGCTGAGCAGTGATGGAGCACAGAGGAGGCAGAGTTCAGGGGAATTTCTGTGGCTGAGGCCAGCCTGGTCTACATAGTGAGTTCCAGGACAGCCAGAGCTACACAGTAAAATACTATTTCAAAAACCCACCAAAACCAAAACAAACAAACAAAAAGCACAGAATAAAGCTACTGAACTGGATTGTAGCCACCTGTGACAGGGCAGATGGACTGTGAAAGCAAGGTAGGCAAAAGGAGCTGGGCAGTTGGGTGTTTTTTCAATCTCTACCAGTAAAACTCTGTGACGGCAGCATACTTCATTGTAATGTTTCTCAAGTGGAGTGGACTGAGTCTTTAGTTGTGTGTGCATATATCATGGGAAGGTGGTTTGAGAGAGTTACAGAGAGCCCACATGATCTGGGTCTTCTGCTTTGCAGACTAAAGAAGTAGGAAGATCTACTATAAGGAGTTAGACATCAACAGGTACATGTAGTTTCATTCCAGGTCTTTCTATTATATATATTTTAATATGGTAAATACAATTAATACACACTTTTTGAGAATTTGTTTTTTTTAGTACAGTTCAGAAGGTTGTCTTGATATAAAGTTCTAGTTCATTTTTACACTTACACTTTACTGGCTGGCTGTACTTTATTCCAATATACTAGTATACTTGTGCCGCCATCTTGATGCTTCATACACATACATCAGTGGTCTTCTAAGTATAACATAAGCCTTATCTTTAGCATACCATGGCAATTCTTACCTTCTTGACAGTCGTTATGACAAAATACAACTGGAGATCTAGTATACTGTAGCAATGACCTGGAAAAAGAAAGCATTAGGGTTACTTAACTAACTCAGTAAGGTGCTCATATACTCTTATGTGCCAGCACAGAGCCAGCGTTCTAACACGACACACACATTCATATTGTGAAAACCATGTGTCTCAGCAGAGAATCCATTCAGCCTCTCTGCATTGCAAACTATTCCCCACTGCTCCTGCACACTCGGCTCAAGCTATCCTGGCACACTCAACAGTTCCACATAAGCCTGTCCACTGAGAGTAATTTCCTTCCTAGCATGTATCAGAACTAGACAGCTGCTTTCTGTTCAAATAAAGTCTGAGCTCTTTAAAGGTCTTGCAACCACTTATACCTGGCACAGCACACAAGCCTGCACCTAGGTTCACCAAGAAAACACAACAGGGGTTTCCATTTTTTGGGGGGGTGGTTGAGATGGGGTTTCTTCTGTGTTGCCTTGGCTGCGCTGGAACTCACTGTGCAGACCAGGGTGGCCTCAAACTCACAGAACTCCTGCCTCAGCCTCAAGAGTACTGGGATTAAAGGTGTGTGCCACCTCCAGCCCAGCTTAATCTTTTAACGTCTCTCAGGGCTTAGGTTTTTGTCTCTCATCTTCCTGGCCTACTACCTCCACCCATCATTCCTGCCCTAGGCAAAACCTCACTTGACCATCTACATTCAGGGCTAATGGTTCAATGATTAAGAACAAATACTTGCAGATGATGTTGAGTTCAGATTTGAAAATAAAAATAAAATCTTAAAAAGACAAACTCACAGCCCCACCCACCTACAGCCAGGTGTGGTGGCACACACCTTTAATCCCAGCAGTTTGAGGCCAGCACTGTCTACAGAGTGAGTTCCAGGACAGCCAAGGCTACACAGAGAAACCCTGTGTGTGTGGCGTGGGGGTGTGGTGTGGAGTGGGAAGCAGATTCCAATTCACCAGGATTTACCACCTCAGGGCAGGGGACAAAAGGCTACACTCACCTCAGGTTCTCAAGCTCCAGAGGCAGGTTGTAAGCAAGGACTTTGTGCAGCTGCTGAACTCTTGCCTCCCCACTGAATGTAAGTCTTAGCACTTGATTCAGGTATCTGTCATAGGAAAGGCAAGACCAGAACTGAGCAAGTGCATGCTCAGGCCTCATTCAAGCACCCAACTCCAGCCAGTCCCAGTCCCAAGGAAGCCCTATGGTCTCCAGGAAAGAGGAGGGGATGATTGGACCTACAGTTCTCAGGGAAGCTGATTTTTTACCAACCCAACAGCAATTTTGCAAACAAGTTTTTTGTTTTTTTGTTTTTTCTCTTGGTCCAGGAATCGACTAATTCATGCAAGAAACACTTATGAGACATACATCACAAGTGATGGCATGCACACCAATGATCCAAAGGAGGCCTCTGACCACCCTGGCAGATGGAAGGGAAATACCTGCCAAAGAGAGCTGGGTAAGAGAGATGAGGACCAAATAATCTGAACTTACTTTTCCATTGTTCCAAAAAGCCATTTTGGTTCCTTATTGAATGGCATTTTCATTCCATGAAATGTGGCCATTTTCTCGGCTATTTCTGCAGAAATATCTGGTAGACATAATTCTTCAGTGTCCAATCGCCGGCTCTGGAATGGAAAAGGGATTCAGGGACTGCCATTTACCCATGTCATCTAACAATTGTATTGAGACCACATCATGTTAAAACCAAGACGCAGCTTGGGTAAGTTTTTGAAATCTCACCCAGTGCACAAAATTCTTTCTTCGTTTCTTTTTTAATAAGTATTTTTCATTTATTTATTTATTATGTATACGGTGTTCTGACTGCATACATGCCTGAGTTCCAGAATAGGGTGCCAGATCTCATTATAGATGGGTTTGTGAGCCACCATGTGGTTACTGGGAATTGAACTCAGGGCCTCTAGAAGAGCAGCCAATGCTTTTAATCTGAGCCATCTCTCCAGCCCCACACAAACTTTTCTTAAGAATGGGTATGTAGCTGGGCGTTGGTGGCGCACGCCTTTAATCCCAGCACTCGGGAGGCAGAGGCAGGCGGATCTCTGTGAGTTCGAGGCCAGCCTGGTCTACAGAGTGAGTTCCAGGACAGCCTCCAAAGCCACAGAGAAACCTTGTCTCGAAAAACCAAAAAAAAAAAAAAAAAAAAGAATGGGTATGTAGCCAGGCATGGTGGTGTATGCCTTTGATCCCAGTAACTCAAGAGCCAATGGCAGGCAGACATGTGAGTTTAAGGCCAGTCTGGTTTTACTACTGGACTCTGCCTTCCAAAAAAGAAAGCCACACAGCATCCCTACAGGTGATGACCCAGTAAGTTCCACAGCTCTTCTACATCAGGTATATTTCATTAAGAACCTGAGGAAGTACCTCCTTCAGTGAACTGGAAATACCATTCCTGTGACTTGTGATTGCATCTCTACAGCTACAGCTGGTGTCCTCACTTGTCAAAACTGATAACCTGTCTTCTGTAGTCCCAGTACTCTATCAGCTGAATATCCCATCAGGGAAGCTACAGGTTCAAGAGGACTGTCAGCTGCACCTGCTGTGTGTCCTTAGCACCAGGGCTGACATGGAGTAAGTATGTGACATACCAGGTAGGTAGATGTGAAAGTCAAATACTATCTATCCTAATGGCTTTTATGCTGTCACTGATAGAGCCTGAGGCCTGGCTCATCCTGACAGCCCTTCCACGGGGTGTTTAAGGAATCCTATGGTCCAGGAAATTCTTTGGCTTCTCCACACGAGCTGTACCCCCGCAGGGCTCAAGATGGGGTCCCTGAAGGTACAAAGCAGCAGGCACAGGGCAGGGACTGTTGCCCAGTTAGAGAAATCCTGCTCAAATTCTTGCCTCAAAGATATGAGTTAGCTGTGTGGCTTCATTCCTCAGTGCCTTGCTTCCTGTTGCAACGAACAGGAATAACACTCAGCTTGCTCACAGAGAGTTGCTCTCACGGTGAAGGAGAGTCTACCAAATCAGGGTAAATACAGTTGGAGGTATTTGACACCTCACACTAAGAACCATGCATGGAACTCAGTCTCCTCAATTCTGGAATCTTCTCCACAGCATTCTCAATAAGCATGCTATTATATGGATGGGGAATCCACTTCTACTAATTAGATACTCAGGACTTCTGAGGGCAGCTTACTCAGCTTTCAAAAATGCCACTATAGCTGGCATTAATCCTAGCATTCAGGAGGCAGAGGCAGGTGGATCTCTGTGAGTTGGAGGCCAGCCTGGTCTACAAGGAGTTCCAGGACAGCCAGGGCTATACAGAGAAACCCTGTCCTAAAAACAAAACAAACAAAAGCCACATAACACTTAGCAAAAGGAAAACAATCTGAGAAATGCATCCTTAGGCTACTGTAACCATACAGTATTAAACAAAGCTAGGTAGTTTAAGCCTATCACACACTTATAAACTATGTTTTAACCTATTGCTCCTAGGGCCACAAGGAACAAAACAGTACAAGATTAAATAAAGCACAAGAGAAATGATGCAACCAAGAGATTCAGGGCCACTCCTATGCAGCTGCTGCCAGACTTACACAGAACCCTAACCCAACCCTTACCCTAACCCACTGTCTAGTCTGGGATTCACTATGTAAACCAGGCTGGCCTCCATACAGAGATCATCTTACCTTTGTTTCCTGTGTGCTGGGATTAAAGACATGTATCATTATGCCTAGCCTTCTTGCTTATTTTATAGACAGGGTCTCAACTGTGTAACCCAGGCTGGCATCAAATTTGGGGTGATCCTTTTGCCTCAGTCTGCTGGGATTACAAGTGCGAACCACAAGTCTGGCTTAACATTTTCTTCAGGGTTTCTCTGTGTAGCTCTGGCTGTCCTGGAACTCACTAGGTAGACCAAGCTGGCCTCAGAGATCCGCCTACCTCTGTCTTGCAGGTGCTGGGGATTAAAGGTGTGCACCACCACACCCAGAAACATTTTCTTTTCTATGTAGAAGGAATAATTCATAATATGACAATAAAAAGTACAGCATATAAATACATAAATAGGAAGCCAGTCATTTATTATCAAGTATTATGTACCGTATATAATCATATGTGCTATATTTTTTTTCTGTTTTTGGTGAGACTCATATTTTTTCATTTGGATGACTATGCCATATATATATAGGAAAGAAAGAAGCTAAGATACTACTAAAAAAGACAAAAAACAGCAAAACAGGGCTTTGTATAGCCCAGGCTACCTTCAGCCTTCCTATGTAGCAGAAGATGAAGGTGTCTGTCTTCACTTTCCAAGTGCTGATACAGAGCTGTGTTCCATGATGTAAAACCATCCTGAGAGATCTACTCTTGATGCTTCCAAGTTCAGTGCAAGGGCTTCACTCTAATGCAATGTTTTGGGTCTCAAGAGTTCTCTGCATCCATTTGTGTTTATGAGTGACTTTGGCCCTTGGAACCCACTTATATGGTTATTCAAGCTGATTCATGGCCCATAATGCCCCTCCATTTGGAGACTCAAAGATCCCCATCTAAGCCAGGTGGTGGGGGCACACACCTTTAATTCCAGCAGTTGGGAGGCAGAGGCAGGTGGATCTCGGAGTTTTTTGAGGCTAGCCTGGTCTACAGAGGGAGTTCAGAACACAGAGAAACAGAATATGTTCTGGGAAAAGAAGGGTCACAGTGGCTCTCTCCTGTCATGATTTATGGTGCTATCTATGAAAATAACTTTATACAGGGCTGTCCTGACCCTATTTGCTACATCTTAATGTAATATACCCAAAAGGATGCTGCAGGAAGTATATACCAGGAGTTCCAGAATAGCCTAGCCTATATACAAAACCAAACAAAAACAAAAACCCAAAACACATAAGCCTTAGGATAAGATAATACTGACTTCTTGGAAAGAGAAGAATTGGCCCACAGTAGCGGACTAGGATGCAGGAGACCTTGAACAGTGGGAAAGCAGAAGGACAACAGAGACAAGAATAAGGGGCTACAGCATGAATGCTACTCCATTTCATAAAGAAGGCTCCAGAAACTGAGAATAAGGTGAAAAGGGAAAAGCTTAAGTGGCAGCAGAATGATAAAATGTATGTGTGTGTGTGTGCTTTTAAAATTTTCTTAAAGACGTATTTTTTGCATGTTCAGTCGTTTTGCCTACATGCGTGTCTGCGCCTCATACATACCTGGGGCCCAAAGAGGTCAGAAGAGAATGCTGGATCCCCAGAAACTGGATTACAGAATCTAGTTGTTAACCATCATATGTGGGCTGGGAATTAAACTGGGGTCCTCTGGAAGAATGGCCAGTGATTATAACTGTTGGGCCATCTCTCCAGCCTCTCACATATAATTTTAATTTGTATGACCATGTCTATGTAGAAAAGAAAGGCTAATACATACTTTAAATGCTAGGCATGCTAGGCAATCACTCTACCATCTCAGCTACATCCCCAATACATTTTCCTTTGTCTTTCTTTACTTATGACCCAGTTTATTTACACAGATCACATTTAATTCTTTTTAAGATTTTATTTGTTTTATTTTCTGTGATTGAATAGATTTTGGGTTTTTTTCAAGACAACAACTGAGTGTTTTATCTGCATTTGTATCTGTACACTATGTGCATGTCTTGGTACCCAAAGAGGTCAGAAGAGAGTGTTGGATCCTCTGAAACTGGATATACAGACGATTGTGAGCCAGTACTGAGAACTGAACCTGGATCCTTGGAAATGGAACAAGAGTTTGTGGCTGCTGAGGTATCTACCATTTACTATGTCAAATGACAGGATTTCAGGCTTTTTCTGCTAGGAGGAATGGAATCCACCTCTTGCCTGTGGTTTATATTACCTTACCGGGATAAACTGCTCCAGTCGGCCTTGGGGAAAGATGCCATACAGTTTTGGCCCAAGTGACCTCTCTGCAAGAATGGCAAACATAACACTCTCCAGAACCATCGCCTCGGCCCCCTAGAACAGATGTGAACAGAGCAGGTATTAGTGCTTTCCTAGGCAGGAAGTGCTTTCTCAGGAGCAGGTTTCTCCAGGCCTCTAGGCCACCCTTTGGCGTGGACAATGATTCTCTCTCTCTCTCCTCTCTCTTTCTCAAACACACACACACACACACACACACACACACACACACACACACACACACACACACACATCTCTCTCTCTCTCTCTCTCTCTCTCTCTCACTCAATTTAGGTCACGTCACTAGTTATAAAAATACAATTTTCCCTCTAAGTTAAGAAGAAAAAGTTGTATAATACTTTGTAAAAAATACTTCAAGACAAATAAAAAAAATGGTATCCTACTAAAAAAGCTGGGGTAACATCTTTTGTTTGCTTGTTCTGAGAAAATCTCAGATAATCCAGGCTGTCCATGAACTGCCTATGCAGCAGACGATTCTCCTGCCTCTGCTGGGATTACAGGCATGTGTCACCATGCTCACTTTATTTGGGACAGGGGACGCAACACAGGACTTCTTACATGCTATGTAAGATCTCTACCAAATGAAACTATACCCCAGCCCCAATCTGTGCAGTCCTAAATGCCTGTGGTTATTCCTATGCTGTTACTATGTGAACTGTATCTTCAGGAGATAGCGGATTATCTGCTAACAGAAGTCCTTTCACGTGTCAAACAATGCTTCCCAAAACAAGTCACTTTACAGTTATAAACTGGCTTAAGGGCCACTTTTATTGTTAAAGGCCACTGCTTTTACTTTATTTATTTACTCTACAACCTAACTGTTTGAGTCTCACCCTTGGCCTCTCAAAATCACCACCCATTCTGATGAAGCTGACTTGATTCTCCACCGAGTGTCTAGTGGGCTCGAATGCTCCAAAAGTCTCCTGCCTAGGTTTTGAGTTTTAATTCTTGTCTCTGCTAAATTCTCTGTAAAGCTGCTATGCTATTCAGAGTTATTTACTTTGTATGTATGAGTGTTTCTCTGCATAAATGTATGTGCACAATGTGCATGGCTAGCTCTCTGAGAAGTCAGAAGGCATTGGATCCCTTTGGAGTGAAGTTTTGGATGGTTTTGAGTCACTAAATAGATACTAAGACTCGAACTTGGGTACTCTGAAAGAGAAGCAAATGTTCTTAACCACTGAGATATCTCCCCAGTCTCCTTCCTCCATTTTCTATTTTTAGTCCTAATAACTAATGACTTTATAATAATTATGATTTCAAAATCCATTCCTTTTTCCCAGTTCACATTCATTCCTCAGTCATTTTCAAAATAGCAAATTAGGGCAAGTGAGTTGTCATCTGTTAGAGTGGCAGGGTGAAAGGGGTCCTTGACACTCAAAGATAACATTACTCATTTATTGTCTTAGATCCTAGCTCAGATTCCATTATATTTCAAAACCGTTTATTTTCTATGTGCAGGCACTTACATGTCATGGAATTGGTGCTCTCCTACTACCTTATGGGGCCTGAAGCCAGACCTGTGTGCTAGCGCCTCTATCCACTGAGTATCTCACTTGGCCTCAATCCCACACCAATAGGGGTGTTGCTCATTCTAAAAACCCAACTCTTCCCCTCCTCCCCAGCTTTCAGGTAATTTTGGTACCCTTTGTTAATAAATGTGCTGTGGGGGAATGATCCCAGAGAAACATGCTTAGAGCGTTGACATTACAAAACTCAGGAGGATTGGGGATTTAGCTCAGTGGTAGAGTACTTGCCTAGCAGGTAAGTACAAGGTCCTAAGTTCAGTCCTCAGTTCCAAAGGTTAAAAAAAAGGCAAAAATTGAAACTGAGGACAAGCTCATTAGGCAATGATAGGTAGAATACTATAGCTAATAAGACAAAAGAAAGAAAAGTTGTTTCCAAAGGTGTCAAAGTACACAGCTTCACTGGTATGTAGACAAATGCTCATTCCTAATCCCCCACAATTACAGCTTAACTATAACTTGTATAATCCCTATATTAGTTTAACCATACCGTTCAAAGTTCAATCTATATTTACTATTACTAATTGCAAGTGTGTGTATTTGACAATATACATATATTAATTTGATCAGATAAGGAATTGGGTATCACATGGATTTATATCTTTTTTGATAACACCAAATACCTCTGTTTAGCAGATGAAATGTTTTCATTGCTCATCTGACCCTCTTAACACATTGGCTTAGGAGGCATAGTCACTGCAGCCCTGTCTGACCTGAAGCCCGATACTGCAGAGACTCTCAGGGGAGCTCAAGCGAAGGCCCTCAAGGTGTCCTCTGCTGTAGTCCTCTCCCCTGTGGGCTGGGAGCAGTCTCCTCGGCGCCTCCTACAGTGGAAACTGCAAAAGCAAGCAGAGCCTGACCATAACTGAACGAGAGGATCCTGGGGTCAGTTCTAGAGCAGGCAATCTACCAGGTATAGCTCCTTGTAGCTATATATGCCATCTGTAGAACTCCCCCCAACACCTCCACTAACTTCCAATCTAATCTTCTGTCTAAAAATCCAGAATTTATCAGATTAAAGTTTGTTTTCCAACTTTCCACACTTCAGAGATACTAAAATGATCATGAGGGTAGAACTGTGTAACACACAGGCATCCAATCCTATTTCTTCCTTCAATTTGAAATGTTAAATTTTGTGCTTTTTTTTTTCTTGAGAAGTCTTCTCTTACAGACTGATCTTGAACTGGTTATAGCTAACCTGAACCTCTCCTGATCTTCCTCCCTCTATTTCCTTAATCCTGGGATTAAAAGTGTGAACCTCCATGCCCAGTTTATGCAATGCTTGCAAATGGAATCCAGGGCTTTGTACATGCTGGGCAAGTCAACTTTTTTTAAAAGAGAGATAGACAGAGAGAGAGGCAGAGGCAGAGGCAGAGACACAGAGAGAATGTATGCTTACACATAGGTGGCTGCCCATATGCCACAATATGGAGGTCAGAAGACAACTTCCAGGAGCTAGTTTTCTCCTTCTACTTGGGCACTGGAGACTGAACTCAGGCCATTAAGCTTAGTGGTAAATTGCCTTCACCCACTGAACCATCTTGCCAGCCTTTCCTGGTTGGTTTATGAGACAAAAATCTTTCCATGATAGTGCAGGCTACTCTTAAACTCCCAGTCCCCCTGCATCAGCTTCCCTAGTGCTGATTGCAGGCAGTACCACAATACAGATTTGAAATTCAGTTGAGTTTAGACAGCACTGTCACTGGGACCTGGATTAAAATTCTGTCTAAACTCCTGCAAAGCCATCAGCCTAAGCATAGACACAGTGCCAATGTAGAGATATAAGCACTCTAAGCCCCCAGTGGTCTTCCTGGCAGCTACTTGAAGCAAGTGAGCAGAGGGCTGAACCAGGGCTTGATCCACAGTCCACCCCTCCACAACACCATCTGGGTCAGCCACAGGCTAGTGCTACTTTTTGGAGAAATCGATACCTCAACTATTTACTTTGGTTTCAGAAATAAATTTTTTTAAATTCACTCATTCAAAACACAAAATGTGGCCAGGCAGTGTCAGCACACACTTTTAATTTCAGCACTTGGGAGGCAGAGGCAAGCAGATCTGAGAGTCTGAGGCCAGCCTGGGCTACAAAGTGGATGCCAGAACAGCCAGAGCTGTTACATAGAGAAATTTTGTCTTGAAAAACCATACACAAAACAAGTAAACGAAAACAGAAAATATTTGGTATATTAGTACTAAATATCAGGGAACCAAAGAATAGGCTCCTTCAGGCCCCATCTGTACAAAACTTACATAGAGAAACAGGAAATGAATATAGTCAAGGCCATGAAGGGACAGAAGGCTGGAAAGACAGGTTATGAAATGGCATGGATTTCCAGGACCCAAGAGTACAGGGCACAAATGAACGATGAACTGTCCTGATGGAGGAAGTCTGGAGTAGTGAAGCAACTGTGAGGCAGTGTAGCTGTAGCTGGAATAGGGCAACCAGGATGGACAGGACCATGATAAGTAACATACACCGAACGCTCGTGCAATGATCAAACCCCCAGAACAAAAGAAAAACTGGCCGGTTCCTGAGAACTCCCACACTATAGCAATGGCTGGTTCCTGAGAACTCCCACACTATAGCAATGGCCTTGCAACAATCAGATCAGTAAGAGCCCCTAAGGCTCAGGAAACATCAACGAGAGGAGTCTGAAAGAATAGAATGCTGGCTGGTAAGCAGGAACACTATAGAAAGCTGTGTTCATGAAATAACATGGTGTTGCACTCATGAGCTCACAGCAGCTGTGCTCATCTACAAAAGACCCACACAAGCTCAAGCCAGTCAACATTCCAGCACAGGGGTAGGAGCTTACAAGATCCCACTCTCAGCTGAGGGGTTGTTAGCAGTCATTGGAGAAGGGAGAGTCAACTTTCTCCAAGCATGCGGCTCTGTCTGATTACTCATGCTCTAACGGATGACCCACATCCAAATGCATGCAGGCAGTACTTACTAACTGGACTCAAGAGGGGACAGGAAGGTGGGAAGAGGACATGGGTGGGGTCTGGAGGAGTGCAAAGGGAATAAGGGGTTAACATGATTGAGATACATTATGTAGGAAATGGAGAAATGGCTCCGAGGTTAAAAGCACTTATTGTTCTTCTAGAAAACCTTGGTTTGATTCCCAGTACCCACATGATGGCTCACAATCATCTTTAACTCTAGTTCCAGGGGACTCAACACTCTCTCTTTTGACCTCTGAGGGCACCAGGCACACCCGGGGGGCACATGTACATACAGATATATAAGTAAATCACGCACAGACACAAATTTTTATAAAGGAATACAAATATTTTTTATAAAGGAACTTATAGGAGGCAGAGGCCAACCTGATCTACAGAGGGAACCAGACAGCCAGAATTGTTAAACAGAGAAATTCAGCCCCAAAAAAACAAAAACCAACACCCCCCCCAAAACAGCATTTACTTAGCAACACACACAAACAAGCATTATACCCATTAACACTCATTCTCACAACTGTACAGTGCTTCCTTATATTTTCTACTCCATCTCATTTAAAAAGCAAGCTGGATGCAATGAGCACAGCCTAGTCCTCTGCTAGACTAAAGAGTCTAGACAACATACCAAAACGTTGTCTTCTAATAAGGACAAAGAACCAAAAGCTCTAATGTTTCATATTACCTATCTCGTGCAAACAACCAATTCAGATCTGGGCAGGGGCAGGAAGATAATGGGAAAGAGGAGGTAAAATGGCTGCCTTTGTGGAAGAAAGAGCCACTGGACTTTGCAATGTAGTTGCTGATGACAAAAGCAAGAGCTTCAGAAGAATGATGGGAACAAGTTTTAGATAAGAAAGGGTGAACAGGGGCTGGAGAGATGGCTCAGTGGCTAAGGGCACTGTCTGCTCTTCCAGAGGTCCTGAGTTCAATTCCCAGCAACCACATGGTGGCTCACAACCATCTGTAATGAGGTCTGGTGCCCTCTTCTGGCCTACAGACAGAACAAATAAATCTTTAAAAAAAAAAAAAAAGGGTGAACAGAAGAGAGAAAGACACCTAGATGGGGGATGAAAACAAGTTTAGAATTTCCATTGGGTAAAATGCTTGCCATGCATGCATGAAAGTCTAAGTTGATCCCCAGAACTTATTTGAAAAAGCTTTCTATCATAACATTGCCGCCACGCCCCCCGTGTGCCTGGTGCCCTCAGAGGTCAAAAGAGGGTGTTGAGTCCCCTGGAACTAGAGTTAAAGATGATTGTGAGCCATCATGTGGGTACTGGGAATCAAAACCAAGGTCTTCTAGAAGAACAATAAGTGCTTTTAACCTTGGAGCCATTTCTCCATTTCCTACATAACTAGGCTATAGCCCCAGCTTGCTTTTTCCTTTAAATATTTTATGTATTAATATGTAGGCATTATGCCTCTGTTATGCCTATGCATATGTATGCTTACTGCCTGCAGAAGCCAGAAAAAGATGTCAGATTCTCTGAAACTCTGGAACTGAAGCTACAGCTGGTTGTGAGCTAGCACACAGGTGACAGGAGGCAAACTTAGGTCCTCTGTACAGCAGCCAGCACTCTTAACCCCAGCCACTCCTCCAGCATTCTGCTTTTCACCTTTTATTGTGAAGTAGGATCTCACTAAATTGTCCAGGCTGGCCTTGAACTCTCTCTGTAAGCCATCTTGTGATTTTCCTGCCTCAGCCTTCCAAGTAGCTGAGACTACATACAGACAGACCTGTATTACCAGAGCCATCTTTTGTTTGATTGAAATGGGATCTATGTAGCCCTGGCCTTGAACTCATTATCTTCCTGCTTAAGGCCCTCAAGCACGGGCATTGCAGTGATGTGCTGCTACTCCCACCTAGAGACAGGAGGTCCTGGGTTCAAACCCCAGCACAAACAAACTGAGGTGGGGGGAAGTTTTAGAATTTTTAGATATGATCTCACTACACAGCCCAAGTTGACCTCAAACTCACAGTCATCTTTCTGCTGCAGCCTCCAAGTGCTAAAGTTACAGGAATGAATCCGTTTTAAAACTAACAAAAACCCTAAAACATAAGAGTTAGAAAAGACTAAAATAAAAAAATCCATTTTTAAAAGAAAACTAGAAATGTTATCGGGACAGGAGCAGAGATTGCACTGAGGTAGAGAGGACATCCACTAGAACACCTGGCTCCCTGGATGGAGAAGAAATGGAGGACGATGACAATGGGCATGCTGAATGAAGAGAAAGATTCCCTCTTCAGGGGCAGCCAATGGAAAAGATGGCACAAAAGAATAGGGCTTGGAGTAGAAGATGTCAGATAAGGGATGAGCAGCAAGAATGAGCTTCATACTGCAAGCCTAGGGTAGGAACAGGAAAGCTGCAAAAGAAAACAGGCACCTGAAACAGACCTTAGAATCCAAAGGCAAACCTAAGTGTGAAGCTCAGTAGGCCACCATGTTGCAAGCACTCCTGAGGTGGAGTACCAGCGCTCCCAACTGTGTGATTCTCTAGAGTTCAACAGCTCAGGGGTTGTGGGTGCAGTACAATGAAAGCAAGCACTGAGGTGGGTAAGTTCAGCATGGCAGGTGTTAAAGGTAAGCATAGAAGAGAAGTGGAAGAAAGGAGTGAGGATATATAGCGGAGGCCTTAAAAGCATGGTGGAACAATGGCTCAGAAGTAAAGAGCACCAGGTGCTCTTCCAGAGATCCTGAGTTCAATTCCCAGCAACCACATGGTGGCTCACAGTCATCTGTAACGTGTTCTGGTGCCCTCTCCTAGAATGTAGTGCAAGCACACATGCACAAAGAACACTATATACAGAATGAATAGTTGAATCATTAGAAGGAGGCCTGATGGAGTAGGAAGGCAGCAATGTCTGGACTATACAGACCCCCAAGAGTCAAAGTAAGCTGGTAGGTTAGCAGAGATAGAGTGCTGAAGCCCTGCACGACAAAGAGAGTTCCTATCACCTTCTGGAGACAGTCAGGGTACACTTATTGGAGAAGATACCAGAAGGAAAGACTGGAAAAGTTCAGCAGGGATGCAGTGGAGAACAGACTATCTGGGCCACAGGATGATGACAGGAGAAGGAGTGGACTCCAACAGGTTGTTGTAGACTCTTGACATAATGAAGGCAATAAGCAGACAGCCAGAGACCAGGGTGAAGGAGGAGAGCAGCATGTGAGTCTTAAAGAGCTGGGATGTGTGTTGGCAAATAGTGTTGCCAATATTCTGTTGGCAAAAATGGAAGAAGCAGACAGAGAAGCCCCACATGTGAGCGGCTGGATAGAAAACAACCTCCTCCACAGAGGGCATGAGGGAAGGTCCTATGGGACCTGGAGCAATAGTCAGGACAATTATTTTTGCATTTATGTATGCGTGTGTTTCTGTGTGTGTGTGTGCACATGTGGAGGTCAGAGGGCAATTTGTGGGAGTTGGTTCTCTCTATCATGTGGGTTCTGGGATAGAACACGGGTAGCCAGACTTGACAACAAGCACCTTTACTTTACCTGCTGATTCATCTCACCAAGGAGGTGAGATGCAGCCGGGCGCTGGTGGTGCACACCTTTAATCCCAGCACTCGGGAGGCAGAGGCAGGTGGATCTCTGTGAGTTTGAAACCAGCCTGGTCTACAGAGCGAGTTCCAAGACAGCCTCCAAAACAATACAGAGAAACCCTGTCTCAAAAAAAACAAAAAAAAAAAAAAAAGGGGGGTGAGATGCTAAAGGGGCTCAATGAGGAATGGAAATCAACTCCTCCATACTCAGTAACCAACTGTGTGCGCACACCAACCCCTAAGATCTACAGGTAAAGTCAAATTCCCTGTAGAGCAGGTCCTGAGAAGGAAGGGGGGGGGGTGCAGCTGTGATTGTTTTTTGAGAATGGCATCTAAAACCCAAGGGAGGAACAAGCAAGAATGTGGTGCCAGCAGGCAAAGCAGGGTACTGGCTTGCTACTGCAGCTGTAACATAAGCAGGGAAGCAGGAAGCACAATCTCCCAGTTCAATAGTTCCCAGGGGTGTCCTGCTAGCTATGTCGCATTAACCATCTTAAACACACAAGTACCCCTTCTGTATAAGCCGAAAGACACAAGAGAATACTCACAAGATGCCCACTCTCCACGACTCACTACACACCTAGAGTCTCAGAAGTTCCTTGAATGCACATTTTTTCAGTGTTATCTATTTCAGAATCTGGGAAGAAGCCTTTTCAACCTGGCCACCATACCCAGGACAAGCATTGTCATTTCCTCAAGAGGAGAGTGCCAGTGAGAAAACTAGGCAGTGATCTGCTTCCTAATGATGGTGTGGGAACATCCGGAAGCGCTAAAACACTGCCAGAGAAGCCCGGTGCCTCCACATCAGAGTATCAGAGATTATTTCCTAAAGCTTGCATCTCTCAGCATCTCAAACCCTGCTTAGAAATTGCCGCCACAGACAATTTGACTCCCTACCCTCAGGAGTTTGGAAGCCCCTTATGGCTCAGCCTCAGTGAGCTGGCTCCAACTGGTCCAGAGCCCTTTTGAGAAAGACCAAAGATTAGAAATTTCCAATGACAGAGACCAGGCCTGCCAAACCACAATCTGGTAAAGCTGGACACAACCAGTTTACAGCTCATGCAGATGAGAATGGACTCAATTACTTACTTGAAATTCATTTTCATTCTGAGCTTGTTCGGATCCCTCTTTATTACAGGACCTCTATGAATGAGAAAAAGCAAACACTTCCGGTGAGATGAAGCACACTGAGCAGACACTAACTTTGCAACCACAGAAAGGTGTTCACAAAACACCTCATCTCTTTAACAAGGGCTTGTAGGCCCCCAGGTGACCGGCATAGTCTAAAGGCACCGGCAGTCTCTAGCACTTGTGCCAACACTTTCAAAGTGCTTCACCTTTTTACAAGGAAAGGGATGTACTGCTGATGGCTGTCCCCATGTACCTTTCACAATTTCTTTGTTAGAGGAAAGTCACTAAAGTGCTCTCTTCTAATCGGGCCTTCTAAAGCTCTGCCTGAATTATGTGGTTCTCTCAAGGGAACCTGCAAAACAGAACTGTCAACACGCTTGTGGAGGGCTGCAGGCAGCAGAAAATAGTAGACAGAGAGGAAAGCACTAAGCAGGTGGTGAAGTTAGTGTGGGCTCTGCACACCTGCCACTTGCTCAGACTAGCCCTCTGCTCCATCCAGCTCAAGTTCAATCTCAACTGTTCCTCTAGCAAACAGAGGACTGTGCATTTAACAAAGCCTAAGAATTATCTGATAACTGATAACATTAGGGGCTACTTTTACAACACTTTCCTCATGAAATTGAAAACTGGTGGCAACCAAGCTAACAATAGCTAAATACTGGACCATCGACTGGCAAAGAGCTTGGACTACTTTTTACAAGCCACGTATTTCCAAACCACCCCCACCCCGAGTGCTTTCCAACGGAAACACTGTCTTTCAGTAAGGGGAAGGGGAAAAAAATCAAATCAGAAATTAAAACGTTGTATCAAAATGTATACTCAGCTGCCTTCAAAACTGTTGTTACAATTACATCAGGTTTACTTGAGCCAAACTCAAAAGGAATCCTGTAAGGAAACCTCTGTAAAAGAATTTTAAGCTAACAGAGTCTTGAACATCCCATTAAAAAAAAACATACCTTGCCATTCCACAGCTTTATCAAAAACACCTGTACCAAGGGTGGAAAGTGTGGATAGGAAAAAAAATGCCATGTTAAGCAACACTGGCTACTCTAGTAGCATTCAAAACACCCTGTGATTTAAAGCAACCACTCTCACCATCATATACCAAATAGCATTCCACAGGTATCTTAATGTGTTTGGTATAAAAAAAAATTACATTTCTTACTTCTTTATAAAGGCAGACAAAACAAACATCCATGTTCATAAAGCTAACTGCAAAAGGTTCCTAACACTTGTTTTACACATATGTAATAGTAAACATAACATGCGGGTGAGTACATTTGAAACAGGGCAGTCAGTACAAACAGGGTATGATATTTTCACTTGTGTAATCTGCATTTCTCTGATGAAAATCTAGATGTTACAGGTTAAATCCCGTTACAATGAAAGACAAAAACCAAAATATAACAATAACCCCTAAGCTCTTTGCTGGTAGTGTCAACCTGAGGAGAGAGTAACTCGGTGTCAGAAAGCTTGATGACGCCTCATACCCAGAGCACTCTGGCAGTGGCGCCGTTGCTTTTGTTTGACTCTTACACAGCAGACTATCTCAAGGAATCTATGGGTTCCTAATGAATGACAGGCTCCACTTTGTATTGTTAGTGTTTCCCCAAAGCACTAAGAAAACCCTGATGTTTTTGCTGTGGCTGGTGTGGGCAAGCAAGCACTCTGCTGCTCTGTGCTGCACACAGCAAACATGCTCAGGGAGTCACCTAGTGCCTGAGAGCTGACTAGTTTAGCAGTCTATGCCCCAGAATGGGGGAACTGGCTGCTTGTGAATCAGGAGATCAAATGGCGCTAAATGCCTCTTTAAGGGTCTTTGTGCTTTTTTTCCTTCAAGGAACATTAAGAATAAAACAAGTTCCTTGGTTTGATAATTATATACTAATACTCTGTAGAAAGTCAGGACAAATAAGGAATTTTCATATCCTATGAAATTTGATGTAACGGGATTTGACCTATACAAAGCCCTAAATGACTATGGTTATTCCTATGCTGTTACTGCTCTAACTGATCTCAGGGAGACAGTTAACAGGTTGTTAGCTAACAGAAGTCCTTTCCCTGTCTAATGGTGCTCTCTAAAACAAGTCACTTTACCTAATATAAACCAGCCTAATTCCAGGACTCTTTTTTAGTAGTATGTTACAAGAAGTGGACATAAATTCCATTGCTACTTTCCCCATTCACCCACTCCATCCCATTCCAAACGAACCTATGATTTAACATAAGAGCACCATCGCAAAGGCAAGATGGACTTCTGCAGTCCCATGTTCTGTTTCCTCAGTACAGAATGAGCGGGAACCCAGGAGAAGGGACAGGAATCTCAAAGCAGGAAAACAGATGGGCATGAACTCATGAATACTAAAGGCAGACACCTCTTAAGGTATATCAAGCAGACCTACTCTGTGTGAGACACCTACTCTGTGAGAGTCCCAAAGACTCTGACCAGAAGACAGGAAACAAAATAAAGCTTTGGAATCTATAGTAATTTACATTAGTTGCATATTTTATTTAAGGCAAGGACTAAAATGCACAAAATAAACATTTAGCACAATTTAAAATTTTCTTCCAACTAACTTGAAAATTGAAACTATCTTTCAAGTTATAAAACTTAAATTTTAAGGTTAGTTATTTTATTATCTGTGTGTGTTGGAACATGGCAAATACTTATACTGAGCCTCCTGCTGGACCTATTTAATTTCTACTTATTTTGGTTTTAAAAGCTTACTTATTTTGGTTTTAAAAGCTTACTATTCTATGTTTTTATTTTTAATTATATATATACATATGTGTTTGAGTGTCGATTTAAACATGTGTATGCAATGCCTGTTGAGGCCAGAAGGTGTTGGATGCCCTGGAAATGGGAGTTACACTTGACTGTGAGGTACTGAGCCTGGGCCTCTTGCAAGTACAATAAGGGGTCTTAACCACTGAGTTGTCTCTCCTGTCCCTGCAAAGATTTTGTTACTGATCCTGTTTAAATTGAAAATATAAAGTCTGCCAGCTAAAGTGAGAGAAAAGAGGACTTTCATTTTCACTTCATGTCTGTCTACAACTTAGAAGCTACTTGAAGGTAAGCACCACACTTGGAGCCAGGTTTCAAATGTTTTTATCTGACACAAATCACACTTAAGGCTTTATGGTTTTGGTTGCTTCTTTTTTTTCCTTTTGCTGTTATTTTTCTTTCTTTTTTTTTTTAAAAATAGAACAAACAGATTAATTTAGAAAAAGTGATAAAGCTGGGCAGTGGTGGTGCATTCCTTTAATCCCAGAACTCCAAGGCAGAGGCAGGCAGATCTCTGAGTTTCGAGACCAGCCTGGTCTACAAGAGCTAGCACCAGGACAGCCTCCAAAGCCACAGAGAAACCCTGTCTCAAAAAACGAAAAGAAGAAAAAGTGATAAAGAACTCTGGAGAGAGGGTTTCCAAGGAGAAACACCTTTGATTTTGTAGCTTAATTGGGCTTTTGTTTGTTTGCTTGCTTCTTTTTTTCCCAAGGCTTGCAAATTCTCTTCCATTGAGCAAATCCTTAGCTTGGTTTTATATATATATCCCGTTTTTTTGAGACAGGGTTTCTCTGAATTGTTTTGGAGGCTGTCCTGGAACTTGCTCTGTAGACCAGGCTGGTCTCGAACTCACAGAGATCCACCTGCCTCTGCCTCTCGAGTGCTGGGATTAAAGGTGTGTGCCACCAATGCCCGGCGCTTGGTTTTATATTTTAAATCAGACTATGAAAGTAGTAAATGTTCTTGCTACAGAATATTGGTCTTGAGAACATTCTATCCCAGGGCCTCGCTAAAAAAACGGAAATGTGTGTAGTAGTTCATGTCTTTAATGCCAGCACACAGGTGGATCTGAGTTATAGGCCAGACTGGTCTACACAGTGAATTCCAGGTCAGCCAGGGCCTGTGTACAGTGAGCTGTATCCAAACATACAAAAAGGAGCTGGAACAGGTAATGTTGGAGCAAAGCATGACAGGCCACTTGATTAAGTTTGCTGTTTAACTTTAGCTACTTTTTAGGGCTAGGGCTCAGCAGCAGAACTTATGTAGCACAGGGGAAGCCTTGGGCTCAATCCCCAGCACTCACATGCATATACAGTATCTATTTTTAGTTAGCAATAGTTCCATACTAGAACAGGTTTTCTGTCTCTAAGCTCACTGAAACCATCACATAAAACAAACAGACTTTAATAAATTTTATTTTGGCCAGTTCTTAATAATAAAAGACTCCAGAAATCTCTCTTTTAAAATGAACATATAGAGGCTTAAAAGAATAACCTAGCCGGGCGTTGGTGGCGCACGCCTGAATAACCTAAACTGGGCGTTGATGGTGTACGCCTTTAATCCCAGCACTCAGGAGACAGAGGCAGGCGAATTTCTGTGAGTTCAAGACCAGTCTAGTCTACAGAGTGAGTTCCAGGACAGCCTCCAGAGCAATACAGAGAAACCCTGTCTCGAAAAAGAAAACAAACAAACAAAAAACAAGAATAACCTAACTAATCTGTTTAGTCTGAAAAAACACCCAACATCCAATGCAGGACTAAGCAGAATCTGAGCATTCCTACTCTATGGTCTACTAGGATCCCAAGAGAGAAAGGAGGACCTGCCTCTCTGAGTGGCTTAGGCTTCTTTACTGTACAGCCCAGGCCTGGCTTTGAAGACTTGCAGTCTCTGACCCAGCTAGCCAACCACATTCTAGTGACTTACTTTTTTTTTTTTTGTTATTGTTTATTTTTTGCAATTGTTTTTCAGAGAGGATCTTACTATGTTTCTGGCTGGCCTGGAACTCAGAGAGCTGCCTGCCTCTTGCTGCCTGAATGATGAGATTAAAGCCCTTGTATCATGCCTGGCAAGATATATCTTAACATGGAAGGCAACATTGGTTGTGACCCCTAGCCACCAAAATCCTGCTCTGTCCCTGCTACTAATTAATGCTTTTGTTCCATCTCAAGGGAGGCTAGGAAAAACAAAAACAAAAAAATCCAAACAATACAAGAGTTGGGGTCTTCACAAAGCCATGTGGCTAAATTAACATGTTTTTACTTTTATTACTATGTGTATGCACATGTGTGTGTATGAATGTAGAAGCTCACAATCCATGGTGTCCCTATGGCAGTCAGAAGACAATTTTCAGGAATCACTTCTATCCTTCCTCCATGGGTTCTGGGGATCAAATTCATTTCATTAAACTTGGGGAGTGCTTTTACTCACTGATCCACTTGCTGGCATGTGTACTTCTCTGTATTATCATGGGTCACAGACTTTCTCCTCCTTGCTTTCAATGGAGAAATAAAGAAAAATGTTGTTTATACTTTACAGAACAGTTCTCAAAGCAGTGGTTTAAAGTGCAGCTTATATAATTACCTCTTGGAATCTGAACAAGTCATTTCTATGGCTGTGTCTTTTTACTATCTAGCCTACCTTCCTGGACATTAGTTATCTTTAATATAGGTGACTTAATTAACGTGGATGGCAGATTGAAGCCTCTAAGAGGCCTTGGGGACATATGCCAATGTTGGCAAGTGGAAACCAGGGACTAAATTCTCCTTTCAGGTCATTCTCAGGGTTCAGGTCTTTTTCTAGTCAACCTGATGACTGACTTAAGACTTCTTGCATTCTCAAGGGTTTGCAAGCAACTTTTTCCCCAGGAGTCTTCTCTCTCCAGTTCAGCATACTTCCATGTTGGATCAGCACTGCTAGACTTTATACAGGAACTGGTACTGGTACCGTGAGGTGAGATGCTGGGGGTGAAGAAGAATGTCCCACTCCCAATGGATACAGGTGCACAGTATGCTGCAGATGAAGGAAGAACCTGAGTACTTCACCTGCATTCTCAAATTGAAGTCATGAATTTTGAAAAGTACTAAATGTTTGTCATTTTCTACTGAGGAAACAGAAGATATGGGTCTGGTTTGCCTTGGACAAAAAACAAAAAAACAAAAAAAACAAAAAACAAAAAGAAAGGTGATATTTCAATATATAACA